GCGATTTTTCTCGGTATACCATATTAGAGCAAAACAATAAAAACATATTGAAATACAATGAAAATATCACCCAATGTTTAAGTAAATGTCTAATAAGAAAACCTTTTTGTAACACGAGGGTTGACAATATAACCGAGATTAGTCCAAGATAGCAAATTATTGTTCATGTTTAAATATAAAAGAAATTACCTTTGACATCAGCAGTTTGGGTATTTCTTCATAACGACGACCAAATCGTCGATGGACCGTAAAACAACGCAAAACAAAACAAATTACGACCAGTTATTGCTGTTACAAAGCATCCTTGCACGACAGGAAGCATTAGGTAGGACTATTACTGTTATCAGTTGACTGTGTATAATTCATTCTAAATATAGTTGATACGTTTGTACATGTATTTGCTGATAAAAATGTTTTTTTGTACAACGCCGACCCGATATTTGCCAGTTGTTCATACAAGCGCGATATATGACGGTAAATAGTTTTATCTCTAAGTATCCACAGGTAGAACAGGTTAAGATATTAGGCGACTGATAGGTCGATAAGGGACGCACCCTCACCGCATATACTTTCTATAATCAAAAAGCAGAGTCCAGAGCGATCATTTTGCATTAAAATTATAGTAACTATACAATATTCACAAGGCTAAAATTGTCGCAGAAACACTTGTATGGTATTGTGGAGAACTTGGCTGATAGTTACGTGGTTATGGTCGTTCCTGCATGAACAGGCATGCAAGGTATGGTATAAGACAAACGATTTTAGCTCACCTGGCCCGAAGGGTAAGACAACAAGAAAATGAGTGTACTCTTCATGTCCAGCGATTTTGTAAATAATCATGGCATTGGGATCTCAACTGTTTCAATGTTATGACCAAGGGAGGTAGGTCCCCAGAGGTCGGTCTGGACCTCCAGATTATTATTGATTTACCACTAGTTCCCCTAATGGGCCACATCTCTCTGACCTCTGTGTGGTACACACAGTTTGTATAAACATACGTCCCACTTGCTCTGGACCAAAATTTGATAAAAATCCTTCCATTCGTTAGGAAGAAGTTTGATTTTAGATATAAGCTTTTTCCCCACCCCCCACCCCCGAGGGACCACATCCTCCATTTATACAAAATAGAGGAGTTTGTTGCCTACAGGTGCTCTATACTAAAATTAGTTAAAACCCCTCTATTTTTTTCTGAAGAACAAAAAATAAAATGGTTTCCTTTATTTACAATTTCTTCCCGAAGGAGGCCATACCCCCATTTATACAAAAATTATCCCCCTTTACCTGCAGATGATTATTAACAAATTTGGTGAATATCTTTTAATTTACACAGAAAAAAGATCTTATAAATCCTTTCATTGGTACAAAAGGAGAAGGATTTTTAATATTTTCCTCTATTTTCCACGGGGGAGGGGCACATCTTCCGTTCAATGCAAAATTGAATTTACTCTGATCAAAGATGTTAAAGAACAAGTTTGGTTGAAAGGCATTAATTAGTACAAAAAAAAAGAAGGATTTTTACCCGTTATTATTTACCAAAGGGACGGGGGGCACTGCTTCAGTTAATACAAATTGAGACTTTTTATCCTAAGGACCCTCAATGCTACATTTGGGTAAAATGTACAGAAGGAGAAATATTTTCCTCCATTTCCCATTTTGGGCCCTGCCCCTCTGTCCCCAAGAGGGCCACAACCTTTGTTTATCTTAAACTTAGACCCCCTTGACTAAGGTTGTTCTATAACAAGTTAAGTTAAAATCTATTCATTGGTACAAAATAAGAAGGATTTTATATTTTCCCATTTCCCCCCCTATGGGGCCTCACCCTTCTGCCCCATTAGGGAGGGGGCACAGCCTCGGTTTATGCAAAATATAGTCAGACCATATTTGATTTAAATTCCTTCATTTATACAGGAGAAATATTTTCCTCTATTTCCCCTATTGGGCCCGTCCCTCTGTCCCCAGGGGGACACACTCTCTGTTTATACAAAATTGAGACCCCTTTGTTCAAAGATGCTCTAGATGATTCAAAAATAATATAATATGGAACGTAGCATATTAGGTATGTCAGAGTGTGTACATACACATGCACGTGACTTCGGGTAGGCGAACAGGCAACATCATGTGGAGACACATTTACAAGACATTTCCGCAACGCCTGATACAAAATGATGTTACTGGTGACCACAGTCGCTGTAGGGATGTTTTGCCCACTGTGGCAAGTAGTAACCGTGGTAATACATATGTCAATGTCTACGCTAAAGATCTCACCCTAGACCTTTGTTGTATTACTCTGACGCCAAATGATTTGAGAGAATTTCTCGCGACAAACAAAGTCATTAAGAAGAAGTAAGTATTATACCATAGTGACAGGGGTCATATATATGTTAGTAGATCAATCCACAAACTTCTGCTGACACGATATTTACATATTACGCAAGAAATGTTCCACGCTTGTACGGTGTCTATTTATAATAGCGTTTTACCTGGAGTACTTGTTCAACACATCTTAGTCTCTTCGTTCGGTCACATTTTCGTATAGAAACCATGGTGACGAAATAATGTTGGTTATCGTCCCTTCGTAATAAATTAGCGTTATGAATGTACCGTCGCAACAGTAACATTTGCATGAAGGCGACGGAGCAATCATTATCATTCTGTCATCCGTTTTAACACCAGCTACATCAATAAGCCATAAAAGGAGTGGTTTCCTGTATTTGTATGTTTGTGCGTATTGTCCTAAAAATAAAAGTAGAAATCAATTCAGGTTTCTGTTATTTTCTACGTTTCCTCATACATCTCGTACAATACGATCACGATTTTTAAATAAGGGGGAGGGGATCATTTTCCACTATTTTTAGAAGACATTTCTAGGGATTGTTACAGGAGAGTGAATTTTCGGATTTCTATTCTACTGCCAACAACTGTGGCATGCAATATATACTGTTTCCTCCAAAACTATTTTTAGAAAAAAAAACAAGGAGATGTTACTGTAAGTAAGAAACACTGAAAGATAATTCTCAACTGTTTTGTCACACGCAGGGGGACAGGAATCCTTAAGATGTTTCCTTAATTTACTAGTCTCAGTGTCCGTCTCTGGCTCCGTGCTAGGTCTGCCTCAAAATGAGAAATGCCTATTACCTTTATGTTTGATCGTTCGACCAAATGGAGAAGGCAATTGGTTACATACAAATGTCCACTTAAAATGTAGTTGATAGTCCCTGCTTGAAGTTCAGTTTGTAGGGTATTCCCAATAACTGGGTACAACTCGCATCAGGTCAGCGCTATCGCAAGGTGTCAAATACATTAACAGCATACATTTATAGTATTCACATAAAGGTCTGGATATGTTTTGGTGTTATTATGTTTCACTTCCTATACACAGTTAAGGCCATTTAACAACGTGCCCCCTTGTCTGTAATGTATGTGTGCTGAAAGCGGTACTTTTTATATTTGAAGCCCCAGCACAGTAAGCAGGGAATAACAACAACCATTTTAACGGAATTAGGTATATCCCAGCCAGGAGACCGAACCCATTGCCTTTCTCACTTGAACGTTCAACATTAAAACCGAAAAAGTGGTGTTGCCAAGCAAGACGCATGGAGATAGAAGGAAGCTAGTAGTAGAAAGAAGCAAAGGTCTAAACAATTACAATGGGTGCAGCAGTAACGTAACTTTGTGCAAATGATGCAAACATTCTTCGAATCAATTCAGATATCTTAACGTTTGTTCATACATTTTCTTGTTTTTGTTTGCGCCAGCTCCATCAAGTCGATGTTTAATTAACTATGTAATATATTTCTGTCGTGAACCCGTGTTATTTTAATATCAATTTGCAACTCAACAATAAAGCACTGTTCTCTGTTTTGGGGAGACCATTTTGACTGCTCAAACTGTAGTCAATGCTTGCGAAGTCATCCATCACTTACTTAATCTCATTGCACCCCCCCCCCCCCCCCCCC